ATTATCAAGGTTGTGGTATTATTTATCTGTCACCAATAGGTAGGACTGGGTATGTAGTGAAGGGATTGTTTTTGAGACAGGAATACAGAATTTAAAAGACAGGAATAAATATGTATTTGAGGAAAATTATCAGAGAAGAGTGTTATTGTGAGTAGGCGGTCCAGATCAGAAAGAGCTTTTCGTTGGCATCACAGTACATTGAGACTCGATTTAGTAAACAACAAGAAGTGATTTCATGTTAATGATTGATTGGATTTTTATTTGTTAGGAAACTAGATATGAAGTTTATTGAGTGAGGTAGAAATAGAAAGAACCACAAGCAACCAACTTTTCTCCTCAAATTGAAACTGAAATGGTGTGTGTACATCAAGAAAACTAAATCAACTTGTTGGATTCTTAACTAGCCAGCCTTGCCTGGGCCTGTGTTAACAACAATTTGACATCTTCTCTACAAGTGTTTTTTTTTTTTTTTTTTTTAAGATTTTATTCATTTATTTTTAGAGGGGAAGGGAAGGAGAGAGGGAGATATCAATGTAGGGTTGCCTCTTGTGTGTCCCCTGCTGGGACCTGGCCTGCAACCCAGGCATGTGCCCCGACTGGGAATCGAACAGCGATGGTCTGGTTCGCAGGCCTGCGCTCAATCCACTGAGCTACACCAGCCAGGGCTACAAGTATTTTTTTTACTTTATTTTTAAATTTAATTTTGTTTTATTTTATTTTATTTTTTATTTAAGATTTTATTTACTTATTTTTAGAGAGGGAGAAACCGTGTGAAAAAGAAACATTGAGCAGTGGCCCCTCACATGTGCCCCTACTGGGGACTGAAATGCACAACCAGGCATGTGCCGTGACTAGAAATCTAACCAGCACCCTTTCACTCAGCAAGTGGACACCCAGCCAACTGAGCCATACTGATCGTGGCTAGAAACCTTTTAGATAGTGTCATGTGCCTCGATTAAAGGGCTTTCTTGAAAATTTGTTTTTTGGAGCTTTTTGAACTGAAATTACAGAGTAAGAGTTGATTCCTTACAGCAGATACTGCCTTTGAATGGTAGAGAGGTGTTTTTTGCACTTTTGGCTCTCATCCTTCTCTTTGAAATGTCTGACTTCATGACACTGCTTTAAGGTTTTTCCCCAGTTTGTCTTTTAACTACTTAAGTAGAATTCTCATTTGCCTTCCTGCTAAGCTGTTGTATTCCTTTGTGTTTTATTTAGGAGAGGCTATTATTTGTTCTTCAAAAATTTTGTTTAAATTTTAGGAACTGTTTGCTCGTAATTTAGAGTTGTGTCATTTTTGTTTGTGTCTGTGTATGTTATCTGCCTTTTGATTCTTTCCCTTCTTTTTCTTACATAAAGATCCATAAGGAACTCATGAGGTTGTTTCTGAACATGCTTGTCTTTGAAGGGATGCCTTCTGGACCATCATTGTATAGAAGGATAGTGAGAGATGATAGTGTGAGATAGGGATGAGCTCTGAGAATGAGCTTTGGTATTTGACACCTGGATCAGTCTTATCTGCTTGTGAGGATGAGCACGGGTTAGCAAGTCGGTAGGAATCCTCTGGCTCAGAATGATGTATTTCTTGTCAAATTTTTTTCACTTATTTTGAAAAAATGAGTTTCACAGCCAGTTGCAGAGATGCTATAGAGAGGTCCTGTGTGCTACTCACCGTTTCCCCCAATTGTTATATCTTAATAGTACACTATCAAAACAAGCACACTGACACTGATACAGTGCCTTTGTATAAATCCGTTTCATTTTATTGCATGTGTAGATTCATATAACTGTCACCACAGTCAAGATATAAAACTAATTCATCACCACAAAGATCTCCTTTATGGTACCCTTTTACAATCATATTCCCATTCTTCCACCAACTGTCTTTGCCTCTTGGCAAGCATTGGTTTGTTTTTTAGCTCTATAATTTTGTTACTTTGAGAATGTTGTATAAATGCCATCATAGAACCTGTGAATTTTTGTTTTGAGCAGATGATATTTTGAGATTGCTATGTATGTTTAGGGGTTTTTCAAATTTATTTTTTAAATTAAAGTTTATATTTAATATTTTTATATTAGTTTCTGATGTACAGCATAGTATATGTTTAGTTTTTAAGAAACCACCAAACTGTTTCCACAGTGCTTTTTTACATTTCTCTCAGCAGTACTTGGAGAGCCAGTTTCTTTCACACCCTTACCTGCATTTGATGTTGTCATTTTAGTAGTTATGATAGGTATGTAGTGATATGGTGATATCCTGGCTTTAATTGTAATTTCAAGTGATCTTTTCATGGTTTTAATTTGCATGCTCTTAATGACTAGTGATGTTAAACATTTTTTCATGTGTTTATTGGCCATTTTTGTATATCTTCTTTGGAGAAATGACTGTTCAAATCTTTACCTTTTAAAAAATTGGGTTATTGGTCTTTTTATTACTGAGTTACAAGAGTTTATGTGTTCTGGATACCAGTCCCTTGTCAGATACATGATTTGCCATTTTTTCTCTAATTCTATGGCTTTTCTTTTTATTTTCTTGTTGGCGTTCTTTGAAGTATAATAGATTTTAATTTTGATGAAATATAATTCATCTATTTATCTTTTGTCACTTGTGCTTTGGTGTTAAGAAACCATTTTTAAATCTAAAGTCATGGAGATTTCTGTGTTTCCTTCTAAGAGTTTTATAGTTTTACATTTAGGTATAAATATATATCCTTTTTTAGTTAATTTTTGTATATGGTGTTAGGAAGGGGTCCACCTCCCATCTTTTACATCTGGATATATAGCTTAGGTGTATAATTTAGTTTTGATTATATTTTTGAACTCTTATGTAAATGCAATAATATAGCATGCATTGTTTTGTGACTGACTTTTTATGTTTGTGAGAATCATGTTATTGTATGGAGCAGTTCATTCTCATTGTTACAAATCAGTGAATGTATTTACAGTAAATTATTCACCTATTTTATAGTTGATGACATTTGGTTGTTTTTGGTTTGCCTAGTAGAAATAATGATGCTGAGAACATTCTCATATGTTTAGGTGCACATAAGCAGTCAATCTCTTGAGTGGATCCATAGGAGCAGAATACATAGGGATCCTAAGATATTCCTATACTCAGGGTTAGTATATTGGGTCATTTTTACAGAGTTGTCCCAATTTACACTTCCTCTAGCAACATGTAGGAGTTCTGACACTTTACATTCTTATCAACACTTGGTATTTCAGTCTTTTTAACATGGTAATATTTCATTGTGGTTTTAACTTGCATTTCTCTGATGAGCAAAGAGGTTAGGTGTCTTTCATATGTGTTTGTAGTATGTTATTTTGCTATGACTGAGAAATAAGAAACATTTATTTACTTACAATGTTGGTGGCCCTTGCATAGCTATACATGTTCTTATTCTGGGAACCAGGCTGAAAGAGCAGCTTCTGTTTTGGATACGTTCTTGTTTGGGAGGGAAAGAGGAACAACTAGAAACCGTTAATATCTTCTAAAGAGTCTATGTGGATTTAGTGTAGGTCATGTCCATCCATATTCCATAGGTCAAAGGAAATCATAAAACCATGCTTAGTGTCAGTGGACCAGTGAGGTATCTTCTCACAGGAAGCATTACAAGTCACATGGCCATGGTTGGTGATGAGTAGTTCTTTTCATAGAAGAAGTAGAGAGCACAACTACTCTGATCAGTAATAAAGTCTACTACTTTATTTATAAGGTGCTTGTTCAATTCTCTTGTCATTTTCTGTTATTCTTGACTCTTTCTCGGTTCTTTGTAGGGTATTTTTCCCCCTCTTTTTTTCTTCTTAGTAAGTTCTAGATATAAAACTTCTGTTTGTGATATATATTGTAGATATTTCAATATTTACTCCTACTCTATGACTTGCCTTTTTAATCTAGTGATTTTTTTTGTTAAATAAATACTTTAAAAATTGAGATATTTGGCAGATATTGGTTTCAGGTGTAATGTAATGATTCAGTATTCGTATATATTGAAAATGAAATTCTGAATTTCTGTTGCCTAGTTTATTGATATTTTCCTTTATAATTGTGTTCTCGTTTCTTGTTTAATAAACGTTTTCCTACTCCAAGATTATGAAGATACTCTTTTTACTACCTTCTAGAGTCTTTATTATTTTGCTTTGTACATTTCAATCTCTAAACCACCTAGAGTTAATGTTTAGTTGGTATTTTAACATACTCCTTCAAGTCTAGAAAAGAGCTAAAGTGATCTCTTAAGAGGTTTCAAAGATTAAATTAACTCAATTTACATATAGAAACATTGATTGATACTAAACTCACATATGTGTAGAAGATATATATATTAGTAGCACATGTTTTACCAAACTCCTTATACATAAAAACATGTTGGACATGCTTAAATTTTTACTACATTTAAGACTTCAAAAATTCACTTTTCTATATCTGCAGGTAGTCAGTAAACTAAGTCTGTCTTTGGCTACCAATACCTGTATTTCAGATATTATGAGGAAGACCTATGCTTTAAGTGAGGCTGTGATTCCCACCTTTCTGTAATTTAAGATTTTCAATTTTCATCTTACAAGCTTACTTTATTTCTTCCTCTTGTCCCAAGCTATCTCTATGACTTTTAGTGAAAGAACCAAAGAAAATAATTTTCAGACGTCTAATACAGAAATTGTTTAAATAATTGTATTTCTGTTAGGCAAACACATTGGTAGTTTGCCTTTCTTCAGCTAAAACTGAAGTTGTTCCCTTTGAAAGTGGTACTTACACCTAAACAATATCTGTTACAGTACTATGGCTACTTTAATATTTGTAGGATAGTTTGGGGACTAATTTTACATCAGGAGATAAAACAATATTTCTTTTTTTATATAAAAACAACCACATACCATTTATTTTCATCTGGTAATAGCAAAAAGGTAATCAAAACAATATGAATAAATGTTCAGGGACTACCTGTCACAAATAACACCCACAAAATACAAACTTGCTTCTCAATTTTTCACTTCATTACTCATTTCTAGTTGGAGACACTTTGGAGGAGAGTAATATTATCTCTTTTCAATATGATCTGACCTAGTTGTTTTTTTGACTTTGTTTTAGAATGAGTCTCTTCTGCATCATCTAGTAAAAGGTTTATGTATTCATCAAAACCAGTGATACAGCCCTCTATCTGCATATTCACTTGCTCATAAAGCCACACCTGAATACAGTAAGACCTGTTTTGCAAGTATCTGAGGATGAGGTTGATGGGCTGCACCATCACCTCCTGCACTTTTTGGCTCTGGCCACAGTATGCCATGGTGGAAGCTGATGAAAGACCACACTAACCCACACACTCCCTCAAAAAGCTACTTCTGGAATAAAAAATATTTCTTAAAAATTGATAAAGCTGCCATGGCTGGCTGGTGTGGCTCAGTGGATTGAGCACCAACCTGCAAACTTAAAGGTCTCGGATTTGATTCCCAGTTGGGGCACATGCCTGGGTTACAGCCAAGGTCCCCCACATGGGAGCATGTGAGAGGCAACTGATCAACGTATCTCTCACACATGGATGTTTCTCTCCCTCTCTTTCTCCCTCCCTTCCTCTCTCTCTAAAAATAAATAAATATATAAATCTTTTTTAAAAATTGATCAAGCTAAACAAATGGTAACATTTGAAATAGGTAGGTTTTAACTTATACATGGTATTTATTGTCCTTAAATATAAACTTAAATCTTGGTACAATTACCAAGGGTTACAATGAAAGGCTTGTCTAACTTGTGTTTTGGCATTGACCTGAGTTCAGCTTTGGAATTGGTCAAAACTCTTACCTGAGAAATAAATTACTTAAATAGTAGTTGTTTAATAAATAGTATACATTTAAGATTAATATATGAAAAAGCACTGAATATGAAGGATTTGGACAATATAGAAGTAAATCACATCTTTGTGTTCAACCTAAAAAAGTTATTTAAAAAATCAGAATTCTTAGGGAGTGCCACACAAAATATTTTCATGCAGTCCTGGCAGGTGTGGCTTGGTTGGATCGTTGTCCGTGGACTAAAAGATTGTGGGTTGAATCCTGGTCAGGGCGTATACCTAGGTTGTGAGTTCAGTTGGTCAGGGTGCACACAGGAGGCGGCCAGTTGATGTTTCCATCTCACATCATGTTTCTCTCTCCCCCTTCCTCCCCCCCTTCCTCTCTCTCTCTTAAAAAAAATAAAGCAATGAAAAAAATGTCCTTGGGAAAGGATTAAAAAATTGCATTCGAATATATTATAGAAACTTCACATTTAATATACTAAGTGTACTTAAAAATATACTACAAAAACAATGTCAGGATGTACCTACTCAATCTGGTTTCTGGTAGTTCACATGTAACAAGTTAGAAGATTGGGTTTAATCAAAAAAGGTACAGGATTATACCCCAATTATGTGATGACAGTTCTGTTTTCTAATAACTAACAGTTGTGTAAATGTGCAGTAATTTTCCCTTACTATAAAATTCACTTCCAAGGTTTAGCTTCTGTGACTCTCGAAGATGTCCCCTTAAATGCCTTGATATTCAGATGAAGTAATGCTGACTTTTATATTTTTAGTGGTAAATATGGATCATTATTTGAGATTTGTTTTTATTAACAGAATATTGCTCTTGCTTTTCAGCGGGGACCTGATGAGCTTCTTTCTTCTGGCATCTTTAACGGACCTTTTACCATGAACAGTTCTACTCCTTCTACAGGTGTGTATGGTGAGTTTTCATTTTCTTCAAAATCTGAAATGTTTTCTTTCAATTTTTTTAAAGATTGTTCATATTTTGCTCATTTAAAAAATTTTATTTAGTACTTTTTCCATTCCATTTCATCAGGAGGATTGATTTCATCTTTCCTTTTACCTGCATCAGAGCAGTTGGTACTCAAAACTGTACCACCAGACTCCATAAATGATTTGTTCATGGCACGCTTCACTTCATCAGAACCATCTGAATAGATCTGCTGAAATAGTTTCTTTAAAGCTGCATCTCCCTCCAACTTCTCATTCTTTTCTTGTTCTTTAATGTCTCCAACTAATTTATCCTAATGTCTTGTATAATGAGATGATGATAGATACAGGTTCTCTGCATCTGTGGCAACCTGTTTTGGCTTAGGCACATCTCCTTGCCCCTCTAGCTTTTGCCATCTCACAGCCTCTGGCTTTTTCATTTTAATTTCTATCTTTGTTGAAAGTACTTTAAAGGTGTTCTGTTCTGGTATTATAGGATGAAAAAGTCTCAGTTTAAAATTATAATCCTCTCCAGAAGGAAGTTTCACCAAAGCAGACAACTTTTTTCTGAAAATTCCACATTTACATCATTCTTCTGAACATTCTTGATAATAAGTGTTATGATTACTTGAGATTCAGTTGGATACCAGTCATACTTGATTTTTGACTGATCAGCCCTCTGGGATACAGACACATTGGATTGTGACTCATTCTGAGCTTCTTGGTACCTTTTAATCCAGATAATAAAGAAGCATCCACACTATCTAATTTCTGTCCTTCTGTAAAGGTTTCTAGAGCGCAGCAAAGTTTTTTTATGGTATTCACATCCCTTTTCTCGGCACAGCAGTAGGATTATTTGGATTAAGTTCAAGAGATTTCTTTGCATCAGCAACAGCATCACAATAATTCCCAAGAAGGACGAGACAATAAGCTCTTTGACAGTAATTTTGTGCATCATCTGGTTTCTCTTCCAAAGCCTTAGTGAGCTCCCCTAATGCTGCCTGGGGCTCCTCGTCAACCAGAGCATCTGAGAGGCTCGGGAGAAACCTCTGGGCTGTTGCCAGTCCTGCTATAGTGGCCACCATCCCTCATAGTCACTGCTGCTGTTGCTGGAGCTCCTACTACTGAGGTTGCAAGACCCGCTGCTGCCCTTATTTTGCTCATCTTATAAACATAGGCTGAAGTGCCTCTGTTTATATATAACAAAAAAGGATTGCTTTTCTCCGTTTTGTTTAGCTCCTTTTCTGGAGTTTTGTTCTGTTCTTTCTTTTGGGCCATGTTTCTCTGTCTCCTCATTTATACAGCCTCCCTGTGTTTGTTTCTGTGTATTGAGTAGAGCTACTACACTTCCCAGGCTTGATAGAGTGACTTAAGGTATTCTGTAGGGTCCAGTGGCACAGCCTCCAATACCCAAGCTGGTAGGGTGATGTGATGTGATGTATGCACCCTCCTCTTGTAGTTGAGTCTTATTGCTATTGTCACGTCCAAGGTCAGCCACTATCTGTATTCTGTCTCAGGGTCACACACCACTAGCTACAAAGTTATCTGCAGGTAGCAACTACTTGTGTGCTGTGCTTGGAGATGCCCACAAGAGCTGTGAACTAAGACCGGCTGCTGCTAGTCCTGGCCTGGGATAACTTAGAGGTGTGGGGCTCGGTGATGCCAGATGCAACTTGTTTGAGAGAATTTAGGAAAATCTGAAGCATGTGCCGTACAAGCCATTCATATAGAAAAGCCACTGGAAACAGGCTGGGTGGGTCCAAAAGTTGGGTGGGGCAGAGTTTCAGGGAATCACCAGGGTGAGGCAAACAGTCTGACCCAGGTTGATGAAGTCTCAGATATGGTACCCACCTGCTGGCTCTGTTGCTCTGTTGAGGGGGAGGGCTTAGAAAAGGAAAAATGGCCTCTGTCAGCATTTCCGTCTGGGAGAAAGCTGCCCCTTGGCTCTCACCCTGATGCCAGATAATTTAGTTCCTCCCTGTATGTCTCTGATGCCTTTCAATCTGATGCCCTGGCACTGGAGCTCAGAGGGAGTAAGTCTGTGTGTGGCCCCTTTAAAATGAACTGCCTGGGATTCCAGCAGTTTCTGTCTTCCACAGTCTCAGTCTCTGCTGGTGTTTACAGCCAGAAGTTATGGAGACTTGTCTTCCTGGCACTGGAACCCTGGGCTGGGGGGCTCTTATGGGTCTGGGATGCCTTGCTCCTGAGATATCCTCCCAATTTTTATCTGCCACATGTGGGTGTGAAACAAGCTTTTTCTTTGTCTCTGCCCCTCCCGCCAATCTCAATATGGTTTCTTCTGTAATTCCAAAGTTGTAGGACTTCCATTCAGTTCAATTTCTGATGGTTCTGAATCTGGTTGTTCTATAGTTTAGTTATATTTTTGATTTGGTTGTGCAGGGTGGCGAGCTGTGTTTATCCACACTGCCATTCTGACCGGAAGTTCAACTTTGGCACTTTAAAGTAATAAAACAGATTCTATTGCTTGCAATTTTTAGCTATCAAAAATGGCCAAATATTGCCCTTACTGGTGTGGCTCAGTTTTCCCTCAAACCAAAAGGTCACCAATTAGATTCCCCATCAGGGCACATGCCTAGGTTACAGGCCAGGTTCTTAGTTGTGAGTGTGTAAAAAGCAACTGTTCAGTGTTTCTCTCCCTTTCTCCCACTTTTCGTTTTCTCTGGGGTTAAATAAATACAATCTTTTTTAAAAAGATTGCCAAATATGTAAAGAACCACTAAATTGTTTCTCATAATCCAGAGAAAAATCAGTCAACAGAAACAGACCTAGAAAATGACAGAGAAGGTTGAATTGGCAGATTTGTTTGGACTTTGAAAGTTATTAAAAGTATGTTCAAAGGTTTAAATTAAGATATCATCATAACAAGGAGAAAAATGAAACAAAATCAAATAGGTATTCTAATGATAAAAATTTAATGTCTGAAAATAATACCCAGCATGGCATAAACTGCACACTATATTCTGCAGAAGTGATGAGTGGATTTGAAGATAGAAATAGATGGTAAAACACAGAGACCAAAAAAAAAAAAAAAAAGACTGAAGAAGAAATGAAAGAGTCTTAGTAACCTGTAGAACAGCATCAAGTAGTCTACACATACATATAAGGGAAATCCCAGAGAAAAAGGTGGGGGTGAGGAAGCAGAAATATAGCTGAAGAAATAATGACTAAAAATATTCCACATATGGTAGAAACTATAAATCCACATATTCAAAAAGTTCAAAGAACCACAAGCAGGATACACATATCAAAAACCTTACCAAGGCTCATCATAATCAAATTACTGAAAACCAGAAATGTAGAATAAATCTTAAAAGTAGCTGGAGTTTTCATGGGAAGAATAACGAGAGATTTCTTACCCAAAAGTATATGCCAGAAGACAGTGGAGCATCATTAAAGTGTTGAAAGTAAATACAATCAACCTGGAATTCTTTGTCCATTTGAAAAAGCTCCCCTTGGGGCACACAAGAGGTGAGAGCATTTGTTACTGACATACTTTCATTTCATGAAATGGTAAAGGAAATTCTTCACTCTTGAGGAAA